ATTATTTATAAATAATAATCAAATTAAAGTTCATTCATCATAATAAACATATATAAAATATATTTCTGAAAGTGGGCACAAAATAATATTTAAAACTTCAACAAACTGAGCCATAATAAATATGAAAGCATAAATTGTAGCTTGTTTATAAAACATATTACAATAACGCCAATTAAAAGTACAATTGGTGCATTATTAATGAAACAAAAAATGTAACTGTAAATGTATAAGATAAAAGTGAAGTGCCATGAAATAAAATTGAATCCAATAAATCCTCATTAAATCTGGTTATAGACTACGGAATTTTATTATTGCAATATTAAATCCTATTTTATTTTGTTTTCTCAATTTATGTGTTTAGACTTATAACTTAGATACAGGTATTTTCAAATAGCATCATACGTACAGATCAATAGGTTGTATGTTTCAAAATAATTTATTTAGAAAAAATATTTAATACGAGATAAAATGTTTGAAAAGGTATTGTTAATATACGGTATTGATTATAAAAAATCAACACCAAGCTATATTGTAACAGGACTGATATTAACATCACTTTCTGTAATAATCATACAATCATTTTTATCCATAACATATAACCGTGGTTCCTTTTGTAGATATTTTAACTGTATTTTCATTGTAATAATGTTGCTGTATTTAATTTCATATATTCATGTTCAATTCAATACAAATATCCTGGTGGAATTAAATCAAGAATTAAATGTATACTGTGCTAAATATAAATTAGTGAATAATAACTGGTCAATAATTATCTACATAATTCTCCATGTTATATTTTACATATCATTTGGTGTAATACTCATATTTGATGACAACCTGGATGATTTATTTAGCATCAAAATATATTCAGATATAAAATTGCGACACCATGGTGCAATATCATTTTATTTTATAAGTGGCTGGCTACTATTTGCGCAAATTATTTATTTTGAAATTTCGTTTAAATATAATAAAATCCTTAATTATTATATAATTAAATTTGAACATGTTACTACAACTCCACATTCTAGTTTAATCTATCAAATAAGACAAATTATAAAAGATTTTGAACTTGATAACATAAAACTCGCTATTATTTATAAACTAATTCATTTTGTAATACTTATTGTTATTTGCGGTATAATACTCATGGCAATGTTTGCTTATTTGATGTATACACAAAATTGTATTTTTATTTTTATTATAATGATATTAAATATAATATTATTTATTACATACACATTATGTTTATTACATGTAATTCGTAATACAAATCATATTAGATGTAAAATTATTTTCATTTTAAATAGATGGACGTTTAATATTGCAACATGTTAAATATTTTGTGTTTTATTTAATTATTAATAAATGTAAAACATTACTTTTAAAATTATATTGCTAACTTTGTTGTATTAATCTATTAAAATGATAAAAACAATTTATAACTGTAAGAATTACAGTATAGAAATAATTATATACTTAAATTTTAATTATAAAAGTAATTTCTTTACTAAATTGATTTCATATAAATTAATAATACCCTTGTTTAATTATTGTTTAATCATAGGTAAATAAAAGTTCATAGATCATAATAAACATTTCATTTTCATTTCTTTTTGCAATATTTATTACGGTAGGTGGGTACAAAATAATATTTAAAACTCTGATATTAAAAATCTAGTGAATAATTGACTAGGTTAAAACCATAAATTAATATAATATAGACCATACTATTCCAAAACTGGCCACCTGGCCATTTTCATCACACGAGATTTACAGTTCACATATTATTTTCATTTGAAATCATAAGTTATTGTATTTCAATACTGAGTTAATATATAAAACCTTATAACTACACGAAAAACTACATTGAGTCAATAGGTTTTGGTTTTCTAAGTTTAAAAATTCATATCTGTTTTTCACTTAAGTTTTAATATTAGCAGGTGGTTGTAAAAACATGAAAAATTGTAATCATATTTTTGACTATAAAATACTTTATCTACTAATAATCTATGGTTAAATTATCAATTATGTCTGTATACTAGTATATATATTCAAATTATTTAAGGCACCAGGATACACTGATGTAGACAATCTGGATTAAGGTTAAAGTTATTAACGGTCACTTTTTAAATTTATATTGAAAACTTTCCCTGGTGTCCATTTTTATACAATAGTTTGTGAATAATGACTTATTATTATGATAATAGGAATGTGATAAGTTTAACCATGGTGATAAAATTGAGCTATAAATTTAGGAATAAAAATATATATAAATAATAAAAGTAAAAATTAAAATATTAATTTTTATTAATACTGTTTATTGTTTAATATATAGTGTTTTTGATAAATAATTATTTAATAAAATATTTAATGTATTTAACGTCGTAAAAAAGATTTTTATTTACTAAACATTTTCAATTCCCCTTTTATTATAATTAACATGTTGCATTTGTATATTATCAGGGCAAACTACAGTTGATGCATGACTGATACTATTACTTTGGTTAATAATATAACAATCATACGCAAACATATAGCATATAATAGTAATAATAACTCCCATTGCCAATGATATTGAATGAATAATGTCCACGCAAATCACCAAGGGTATTGTGGTCAATGTGCCCAAGGTGTTAAATACCGCATAAGATAATGATAATCCAAAACTTTTTTGAATGACCCCTACCAGTCCAACTGAATTAGTGATTATACTGATTATACCAAACCCAATGCACGTCCCGATAGCTTGTATCTAGGTAATTTAATGTGTTACATGATTGTGTTCAAATAAATTCTTAATACTTTATAATATTTGTTTTAATTTAAAAAATAACATACCTTTCCCTTGAAGTCTGCAGCAAACATTAAAATTGAAGCAAAAAACAATAATAGTAGACCAAAAATGACCCCGATCAATGCCACACAAAATACTGTCCACTTTTTCAGCTTAAACCCACATTCAGTTTGCCTGCTCATTTTTATAATAAAAACAATTGCCAATTTAATGAATATTATTTTTAAAACTAAATAATTTATTATAATTTGTTATATACGCCTCAATACATTAAACTTTGCAAAATAAATATAAAAAACATTATGATAAAGGTGTACAAATAACAAGTTTATTTTTCTAATGAAATATTTGTTATCAACCCTAATATCTAAAATAATAATTGCAATACTTTTAGTGAAAATTGGTTTATGTAAATATTTGTGTTTAATACTTTTTTATGACAATAATATGGATTTTACAAAATAATTACTTTAAAAAGTTATCATAAAATCAAAAACAATTGTATAAATATAATTACCATCTAATAATATTGATAATATTAAAAATTTTAGATAAAATGTAAAAACAAAAATAAGTATGTTCATAAAAAATATTATATTTGTCATCAATTTTATACTAATCGCCAATTATTTATCATTATGCTAATATAAAATATTGATAATGAATTATATTATTCATATACAGTTATTATATATTAGATAAACTGTGATCTAAAAAATGTTAAACTATATCTTATCAACACTTTCATAATTTTTAAGTTATTTAAAACATGTGATTTATAAATATAACTTATTGCACAAAAGTTTTGTTTATTTTCGCTTGTATTATATATTTTGTTTACTAATATTTGTTTCCAAATATGAGTTTTAAAATATTTATATTTATTTTAACAATCATGACAAAATATTGTAAGTTTTTATAATATGAACTAGCAAAATACAATTATTAAAGTACGTATATATTATATTTATTACAAATCTTAATTACAGACTTAATTACCGCGAGTAATGGACAAGATTCAGGTAATTTATTTTAACATTAATTAGCTTGTTAACATTATTTATGGATTAAGTTTTAAATGTTATCATAGACCCAGTGCTTAATTTCTTAATAATTGGCGTATTTGACAAGTGTCAGGGTCAAAATGTGGCTAACTATACTGCAGTAGGTCAATTCTCACTGGATTATAATTGTGACCTGGGCACTACACAAGCAATAGGCAGTTCCTACTTAATTCAAGTTATGCCTAATGAGCAAAAGCTTGTCAATGTAATAACCAGTTTGCAATCAACTTTCCTGGATAATAGCCGTATGTACTAGTTGATATTACAAAATTAAATTGTCTCTCAAATAATATACAAAATTTATATTTTTACTATACATTAAAGTTTATTTAATATAATCATAGTTAGCTAGGCTTATTGTTAATAAGTATATCAAACAAATATTACTAGCGAGTATTATCATGATTATTTATTTTATTAAAAGTAGAAACCTTTAATTATAAATATATTTCCTATATGTATAGTATTTTATAATTACATTAATTAAAATATATAAAGGTGAAAATAGAATTATAAGATTACCTATTTACAGTAAACGTGGAAAGGGAGTCCTTATACCAAGTGGCCAGTGGACCCCAGCAAGGCAAATTTGTCTACTTTAAATACCACATACCTAAAACTAATTACCTCAAGAAATGTAATTCAATTATATCCAAGTCTACAATTACTTCTGATCAGGGTGAAGCAGCCATGCTCATCACAGATAAATTGGATTTTAGTGTACTGGTAGCACCTCAACAAAGTTTTAGCTTGCTTCAAAGTCAGAGTCAAACAGTGTGCCAGGGGTTTTTAAATTATTTTTAATTTTATATACAGTATGATGTAGTTTAATTATCTACGAGAAAATTTATTTTGAAAATAAATATTGTATTTAAACGCCTAGTACAGTATTTATAAAATACTATTTTTTATCAATTTAAATTTATGTTTAAAGATATGATTACAGTTTTCATTAAAATAATTGTAAATATTAGAAATTTAATAGTATTTATTATATAATAATGTGAATTAAAATTTTAAATCATTTTATTATAGGTATGGCAAATATAATAATATAAAATTAAACTCGAATCGTATATTTCATATTAGTACAAAAACTACTAAATTCTAAATTCATAAAAACTATTTATAATAAGGTTGTTAGTAAAAGTTATTTCATTCAAACTCAATGACTGTGCGAATAGTCTTTCCGGCTCTCAAGTCGTCAAACGCTTTGTTAATGTTATCTAAATGCAAACGTTGGGTAATCATGGGCTCAATGGGTAGTCGTGCGCTACAGTGCAGGTCAACCAACCGCTGGTTAAGCTCCCGGGGCTTTGCGTTACCAAAATGGCCGCCCGACACGTGCGCCCCCTGTAGTAATTTACCAGCCGGTATGCTCACACTCTGACCTCTATCGGGCAAACCTATTATAGGTGTTTAAAATTAAATAGTTTTTATGCATAGTTAATTTAATTGAGGTTGTATGTTACCAATTAAGACTAGAAATCCCCAGGTGTTAAGCGATTGAATACAACTGTTAATCACGTCAATATTTCCGATACAATCAAATGCATAATCCACTCCACCGTAACTTTTCAGTATCTCATCAACACTTTGACCTTGATAAATAAATAAATTATAAAATAATTTTTAATTGAAACGTGTATTATAATGTGTAGTATAATGCTGTATATTAATTTGAATTTTAAATAACCCACATTACTAAACTGTAATCTAAAATTACAAATAAAAATATTTATTATAAATAAAATTATAATTATTTTGCATGTTTAATTATTACTTTATTTTTTATATAAAACTAAAACTTATCTAAATTGCTTACTACTGGTTTTCGGATTAATGAACCTGGTGGCACCTAATTGCTTAGCAATTACTCCTTTGTGGTCATTCCTATCAATGCATATAATCTCTTGAGCGCCGGCATCCTTACAGCCCAACACCACTGACAACCCTATGGCTCCCATCCCCCATATGA